AGTGGAAAGTTTGAAGAAGTTCAAAGAAGAGGGTGGAAGAAGCAGATATTTAGGAAGCTGTGAAAAGATGTTCTGGAGTTGGTAATATTGGAGCAGGAAGTCCAGTCTAGAGGGATGGACATTTCCTGTAGAAAAAGCATTACTAACTTTCACTAGAGATAGCAGGGGTTTCAGGGAAGGAAGTTTGGTTTTGAGAAGGAAGGAGGAGCTGAGATAACCTTCAATTTTTGACTGACGGCACCAAATTAATATGGATGATACAAATAGTCTTGGGGAACAAGAGCATCACAGAGATACCCACATATACACATTGTCTTAGCTTTGGGCATTTATAAATTGGTTTGTTTCGTTCAGCATTCTATATGAACTTTTAATTCAATTCAACAAATATTGACTGACTTTATGTTTCATGTTAGGTACTGTGTTGGGCCCTGGAATGGAGCCAGAGGATCAAAAGATAATAGATTATTTTGTCTTTAGAAAGCCTTTCCCTTCCTTATTTGGTATGGGTCAGGCTGCCATATGACCAAGCTTATTAGTACTGTGGAGATAACAAAGTCCATGAGGCTTAAAGTGAGCACTTCAGGGCATCTTTTTGGAGTCTTGCAGATCATATCCATCTCAATATCAAAAATAACGGACTTGGTGTCAGCACATGAGACTCATTTTTAATGTAAAAAAATACAGTCATTGGAAGTATGGAGTATGGGATTTAATTCACGGGCTTAGTGATGTCCTGTGTAGACGGCCCCAAATATCTTAATCAAATACAGGATGTTTAAAGTTTAAGATTCCTAAGACTTTGTCATAATTTTTAGAGCTGGAGGGGCCCCTTCCTTTGTATTCCCACAGTCTCTCGTGTGTATTTCTTCATAGCATTCAAACCATAGTAATTTTAATTCTTTGTGTGTCTTTACCATTAAACCATGAGTGCTTTGAAGTTAGCCACTGGGTCTTGTTCATTCCCTTTCTTTACTTTTAGACAGCACATGGGCAGGAGTAAGAAGTTCAATGAATGTTTATTGAACTTTTTAAACCTTCAAAAATATATCTTCTGCCCCTTCATTTTGCAGAATGGGGAAATTAAGGCTCAGAAAGAAAGAAGAATCACTTGTGCAAGTTCAAATAGGAAAGTAACAATAGAGTCAGGAATAAATCCTACTTTATTTTGATTGCTTAACATTTTTGTGGCTGTTTTCTCCTCCTGACCAACTTGGTTTGCTAACTAATTAGCTAGAAGTTGGAAGCATTTACAAGTTCTGGAAATGTAAACCTTTGTTATGAAAACCAATGACCGTGCAAACGGAGCCCTTGTATTATAGTAGATTTATTTTTTAGGTCCCTCTACTTCCTCATAAGCCAGGAGTCAATAATGTCCCCAGTGAAAGGTTCTGTTTTCCTCTGAGAAAACACACACACACACACACACACGCACGCACACACACACGCACACACACACACACAAGTACATGACTCAAAGCTGAGCAGCTGAAAAAGTATTTTTGGGGTGAAATTTTAGCATTTAACTGTGTCCTAGAAGGTCAGTGGTGCAAGGATTCCAATGGATTTTCATTAAGTTCCTCCTTTCTTCGTGTTGATGTGTAAACTGGGATAGGAAACCCACTTTAGAGGGTGATTTTGAGCATTAACTGGAGGAATAGAGTAGTTTCATCACAAAGTGACTATCACCTTGAACCAGCCAGCTAGCCTCTCTGGACCACTGTATCTGCATCTGTAAGTGGATAGATTAGATGATTTGCAGACAATCTTGTGAAGCTGGAACATTTTACGATTCTCCTCCCTTGGGATCTAATTGGACTGTGGATAGAGTGTTGCAAGGGCTGAGACGTAAGGAAAGAGTGATCCTGCACTGACACAATGCTGGCTTCTGCAGCTTTGCAAGGGCTCCCTGTTTGATGTCAGCCTTTTATCAGAGCGTGTTTGTGCTCTATCCAGGGTTTGCCTGGCCATTGCACCAGTCCCCATTCTGTTCCTCAGGGTTCTGGGAAAGAGCCAGTGGAGACTCACAGGCAGGATTTCTTCCCAAGAGCTGCCTGGATGGTGAAATTCACAAAGTCCAGAGAGATTTCCTGTTTTGTTTTGTTTTTCACAAGCCCAAGTGCCTATTGATTACAAAAACCACATACAACATGTGCGCGCACGCACACACACACATACACACACACACGCAAAAACAAAAACACATACACACACAAGACAGGATGTTCTCTCTCCATTGCTGGAGTCCAATGCAATCTTACCATCTGTGTCACTTTTCCTGGATTTCACCATTATGGTAATTAAGACCTTAGCACCGGCTGGAGATGTTGCTGAATCTTAAGCTCTGCACAGTTATACACATTCGTTTCACTAAGGGGGAACCTACGAATGAGGGAGAAAATGTCCGACATTCAGCATAACCTCATGCCATACCATCTGGTTTCTGTCCTCAAGAGACTATCTCCCTCTGGTGCTGGTAGGAGAAGGGACTTTGTTCCCAGCATAGATTCTGGCACATAGTAGGAACAGAGTTCTTATTGTGTGTTTAACTCTGTCTCAGACACTTTATATGCAAATATTTCAGGGAATATGCTTATACCAAAAATAAATGTCTAAAGTTTGAATTTAATTGAGTACCCTATATTTTTTATTTACTGAATCTGGCTACCCTACTTGACTTAATCCCAGTGCTCTGAATGGTTGAATGGAAAAGACCTGTACTTGGGAAAAACAGAGATCTTGTCTGGTATGATGCTTCCACCATTTTCTTGCTGTGTGATCTTGGGAAAATTGCTTCACTACTCTGATTCCTATTTTCCTCATCTGTAAACGAGGCTCATATTTGTCTCTCAGGACTGTTACGAAGATTATATTTTTTTAATTCACTTAAAGTACTTTGAACTGCCTAACTGGGTGCCACATGGTCATTAGATTTTCTGTAACTCTTTTTCATTTCTGTGGGTTCTATACTTTTCTCAGGTGAAATTAGATAATCCCCAGGAGAAGATATGTGTAAGAACATGTGGTATGAATACTTGGAGTCTTCTTGTCAAAACCTCTGGGAGAAATGTGATGGAGACTTATACAATAACATTCTTGATTCATGCATTGTACTTCTTGATCTGCATCCTGGGTAGTTATGAAGGGAGACCCCAGACCACATTAGACAAACATTCTGCACTTCAGTCTCCTGATTAATGCAAGATGGAAAAAGTGACATCTCAGTTATCAGGTGTCCTCAGCGATAGATAGAATACAACTGTCATTGAAAAAAGACACAAAAAGTGAAAAATACAGAAGAAAATGAAAGAAAGTACAAAGAACTGGCAAAACACACACCTGGCAAGGAGATCCATGTTCTCTGGAATTCTTTAATGAGAGCTTTAACGAGAGCTGTCACAAATTCTGAGTTTAGGATTCAATGAATCACATGATATATTCAACACTGTATTATAAAATAGGCTTTGTGTAAAATATTTCTGCCCAACTGTAGGCTAAGGTAAATGTTTTGAGAAGCTTAAGGTAGGCCTGGCTAAGCTATGGTGTTCAGTAGGTTAGACATGGTAAGTGCATTTGCAACTATGTTGGGTTTATCAGGCCATAATCTCATGGAAAGCCAAGGAGCATCTGTAATTAGACAGCGCGTGTACTTTCTATGCTGTGATGGTCATAGCACACTACACTCTTGAGAGACAGACAGCGCCTAGCCATCCAAAGACTAGTGCATTCTGTGGCCAAACAGCCACCTGCCATCTGTTGAGCACTGTGGTTCACTCACCTGCTTTGGTCCTCTTTCTTTCAGTGGACAATGCCAAGACTTTCCTCTCATTGTCCTAGCTATGCCACTGTTAGGATGATGAGGCCAAACACTGCTTTGCCAATATCTGTGATGCCCAGATTCTGTATTCCTATGAATACCTGGGAAATACACCTCACCTAGTGAAAGAAAGTCAGGGTGGGTTTCCCAGAGAATGAGATGTTTCATTTGAGACCAAAAGAGTGAGTTGGAGTGCAAGAAGGGGAATTCTTGGCAGAGGATAGGATATGAAAAAAAAAAAAGACAGTGAAGAATATTGCAAAATTAAATAGAACATTTATCATCATTTACAACAAAGGTCAGCAAAACATGGCCATCAGACCCCAAATGGCCTTTTGCTTATCTTTGTAATTAAAATTTAATTGGAACACAGCTATGCCTGTTTATTTAAATTATTGTCTATATCATTGTCAGGCTATAAAGGCAGGGTTAAGTAACTGTGGCAGAGACCACCTGGCCATAAGCTGAACATATTTATTCTGTGGCCCTTTATAGAAACAATTTGTTGTCTCCTGTTTAGACAGAAACTCACTGTTGGTGGAAATGTTAGTGGTTGCATGAGAGTGAATAGTACTGTGTCAAAAAAGGTCAGAAGAGTGGTGAGAGATGAGACTTGGGAGGTGATCAGGAGCTAAAACAAGGAGTTGAGACTGAATCACTGAATCTTGAGTTCTGTGGGAGGCTTCTGTAGGGCTTGAAGCAAGGCAGTGACTTTGGTGGGATGCACTGGAGCAAGGTATTTTAGAGGGCAGGTCCTGGAGTCAGAGTGCTTTGCAGGATCCAAGCTCTGTCCCATATTAGCTGTGAACTTCAAGCAAGTTACTTACTTTCTATGTGCCTCAGTGTTCCAGTTTGTCTGGTGGTAAATGATCATGGTATCTCTCATGTGGGGTTACAGTGAAGGGGGAATAAGTTAATGTAGATGGAGTTTCAGGATCAGGGAAGGTTCTCTCAGTGGATCCTGTTAGGATGGTGTCTCCATGATCATTCTGGCCCCTGGATAAGGAATTGCTTAGGCAGGGAGAATCTTGTCGTAGAATACTAGAGATTTAAGTAAAGAGGGCGTCCTGTGCCTAGGAAGACTGCTCCAAATCCCTCGAAGCTGCCATCACGGCCATGGGCACCTTGATCTTAGTCTCTGCACCATCATCATTATCATCTCTTCTGTCATCCTTTCTTCCAGGCTTTCAAGAGTGCACTGATGAGTTCCTACTGGTGCTCAGGGAAAGGGGACGTGATCGATGACTGGTGCAGGTGTGACCTCAGTGCCTTTGATGCCAGTGGGCTCCCCAGCTGCAGCCCCCTTCCGCAGCCGGTGTACGTATGTATGGCCCCTCTTCCTTTGGCCACTCCTTTCCTGGACTCACTCTGACCTAGACAGCCTGGTATATCTTGGCTCTGTTCCCAGGTGCCTAACCAGATCCCTGAAGTCTCCAGGGATCTTGGGAAAGAAGGGACCTTTGGCAGAATGGAGGCATGGTACAGGGGTAGATGCTGATATCTAAGTGCATGTTATTTCTCTTTTTCTCTCTCTCTTTTTTTTTTTTGTATTGGATATGGAACCTGAGGACACTTTATTGCTGAGCTACATCCCAGTCCTTTTTATTTTTATTATTTTACTTTTGAGACAGAGTCTTTCTGAGTTGCTAAGGACCTCACCAAGCTGCTGAGGCCAGTCACAAACTTGTGATCCTCCTGCCTCTGCCTCCCTTGTCTGTCAGATTACAGGCATGCACCACCACACCCGGCAGTGTGTGCTATTGTAAATGAAGCTGTTTAGACCATAATTCCTTTCTTCACTCAGCTACTCAGCAAAGGTTTGCTGGGCCACTGATGACTGTTTTGTAGTACTACTGTTTTGTCAGTTCCTATTTTGAGCACTGGGGCTACTGAGATTAAGAAAATGTGGAACTTCTCCTAAGGAACTTCATTTTATTAATTTGTTCATCATATAATTTTGAATAACTGCTTTGTGCTGGATACTGGGGAAAAAAACACATCAATGGACAAGAGAGGCACAGTCTGTACATTTATGGAGGGAGCATTTTTAGTGGAGGAGACAGATACCAAAGGAAAATATGATTTATTTAGAAATTTAAATAAGAAAAAACAAAGAGTTGTAATGGGAGAGTAATGAGGGTATACTTTAAGTGGAAGGGAGGAGGAACAGGCAGGAAAACCTCTCCGAAGAGGCCTGAATTATAGTAGGGGTCAACCTGGCTGTTAACAGGTAGCAAGAATCACCATTTAGGCAAAAGGCATGGTGTATGCGAAGGCCCTGACACAGGAACTTCACCTGGGGAAGCAGAAGAAGGTCATCCTGATTGGAAGAGTATGATTACAAATTTGTGTGAAAAGCAACGAAGTGGGTGGGAGCCCATAACATGAAGCAGAGTCCCATGATGCACTTCTGCAGGATGAGAAGAATCATATTCCAAGACAGTCCTTGAAGAGATAGTGTGAGATGGTGTGAAAAAGAAAGAACCTGGGCTGGAGATGAGCAAGGTTACCTTATGGTCCTGTCTCCAACTTGCTGTGTGAATTTGTGCAAGTCATTTCCCCTTTTGGGGGCCTTATTTTCCCCATTTTCTGAAATGAGGGAATTATAGACTTTATTATCTCTAAGGATCAATCCATCTATAATCTTCAGTCATTTTTTATTGCTTTACAAGAGGATTCATTCCAGGATTCAGGCTCTTTTTGAGAGAATTTTAATTCTCAGTCTCCTTTTGAGAGACTTAAGGATATTGGACAGTTGACTAAGACATTGTGGAATTGAAGGGAATGGCAGAAAGTTTGAAAGCTCCCAGGTTTGAAGTCACTACTAATTTATTTGAAAATGAGCATCACTGAGAATATAGTTTAAGTAAATGGAAAAATAATCCATTTTCTTTGAGCAAATACAGTATTCATGGATTAATTTGTTAAATGCCACATGGATCTTAAAATGCAGCTCTTTGTATCCCTGTTTCATGGATGAGAAAACAGAGACCTCAAGAAGTGAAATAATTTATCCAGGGTAGTGCAAGGTTTTGGTGGTGGATGGAATGAGGATCTGAATCTAAGCTGAAACTTTTGCTTCATCTGGACACATGCAGACTCTTGGACCCCAGCTAATGTTGGCTAGAAAACAAGCAACCTTTCCTGTCATTTCCTGTAGGCTGCGGCTGTCCCCAACAGTGGAGCCCTCCAGCACTGTGGTCTCCTTGGAGTGGGTGGATGTTCAGCCAGCTATTGGGACCAAGGTCTCCGACTATATTCTGCAGCACAAGAAAGTGGATGAATACACAGACACCGACCTTTACACAGGTAAGCTTGTGACTTCCCATTTCATTGGACTAGCATGACAATGAAGGGAAACTTGATTTTCTAATGTCTTTGGGAACTTGGTATTTGGCTTGGGAAAGCATTAAGAAATTTCCTTGTTTGCTGATTTTTCTGGTGCCCATCAATACGTGATTTGTTTTGTATGATTTTGAACAAGGTAAGATAGCAAGTAGTCATTGGAAAGTGTTTCCCTGAGTAGGACCTTCAGAAAATATGAAAAGGGCTAGTTGATTCTGAAGAGGATTTGGCCTTTCTTTTTTGGGGAAGGCTTATAGGTCTCATGTTTGAAAACTTTGGTCTGTAAATATATTATTCAAAGATATTCAAAGAATAATATGATGGATCTTCATGAACTGTACTTTGGGAAAGCAAGAATTAGAAATGATCTGAGTATGCAGGATCATTTACAAAACATGGCTTTTCAGAAGTCTATATTTGCTTGTAACTCAGAATGCTTCCTCTGAGTTCTTCTAAATTCCTGACACTGCCAAGAAACTAAGCATTCACCTGTGATCTGTATTGAAGGCTTATATTTCCTGCTCTCTGTTGCAACTTCCACTGAGTAATTATTCTTTTCCAGCCAGAAAACATTAATTGAGCATGTACTTCCTCTTTCAGGACCTGAACTAAGTACTTTGTTCAGTGTCTCTCTGAGTCCTAAAAACTTTAAGAGGCTTGATGCTTATTGTGCCCATTTTAAGGATCAAGAAGCTGAGACTTACCCAAGGTTGTCCAACTAGTAGTATCTCCTTAAGTTCACAGTTTTAATCCTGAACCATGACTGGGTTATTAAAAGAATTAAAAAGTATTCTTGCTTTATTCATTGTCCAGTTAGAATATAAGCACAAGGAGGAAAAAAATGACTTGTGTGTTTTAAACCAGGTTGAATTCCCAACACCTACCATCAACTCTGGCATTCAAATATTTGTTGAATGAATGAATAATGAATGAGTGAAAGAAATTTTCTTCATTGTTTCCTTTTCTTTTTGTCGCTCTGCACCTTTTGCTCTTTCTATCTTTCTCACTTTCCTCTCTGAGCTATTTTTGCTTTGCTTTCTCTGAAATTGAGAAGAAACTACTACAGTGAGGTTGTGGGTGTGAAATAGGTCATAAAGGTGCAGGTTACAGAGGATGTACAAAGCCACATTGGCTAGTGTTGGGATATTGGGATTGATGTGGCCTGTTTGATGATGTTGACTGGAGGGATAGAGTGGGCTGGAGGAGGTATCACTTTCACTGAGGAGCTACTCATGGAACAATCATTGGGCAACCTGTTTTGCTTCCTTAGTTTTTTCTATCTTTTGACTCCATGTATGTGTTGCTTGTGTGTTTATTCAAGACTATGTGAGCATGTGCATGTGTACGTTTAAGGTATGTGTATTTGTGTTCATTAGCTTGCACTTTTATTTTTATGTGGTTGAGATTTGCCAGTATCTGTGAATGAATGGGTGAGTGTGTATTTTTTTTGTGTGTGTGTGTGTGTCTACCTGTGTAAAATGCTACTTTATAATAGCAGATACTTGTAGACCACAGATACCAAGAGACATGAAAGTTATCTGATGGTGGGTTTATACATGTAGATGTTCTACATCTCTATAGCATGCTTCTCTTTTCAGAATTAAAAAACAACAACAACAACAACAAAAATAAATTTTAAAAAAAAGAGGGAGAGGGATACCTGGGCCAAATGGTGGTTCCATTCCCAGTTTTCCAAGGAATCTCCATTCTGCTTTCCATATTGGCTGCACCAATTTGCAGTCCCACCAGCAATGTATGAATATGCCTTTCCCCCCATATCCTCAAGCATGGTAATTTTTGACTGAATGTCAGACATTGTGATTTCTGCCTTATTGGATGCTAGATACTTTTTAATTCCTAAAACTAATTTTGTACCCCATTTTAGGAGACAGGTAAGTTACCTTGCAGTTTGATCTTGCTTTTAAGATTTGTTATGTGGAACTGGAGAAATGGGCAGTCGAGGGTTAATTATTCCATATTATTGAAGGGAGATCATTCTATGTATTTTACACAATAGCCCATGAATTAAGAGGTTTTTCCAGTATGGCTTATAGTGGCAGGAACTGTCACTGGTCCTTCTATAAGCACTGGGCATGGTCCCTTCTAATCCTCTTGGATTGGTAGTTTTCTTATATTCATGTATCAATAAGTACTGTGCTGAATATTGAAGGAAAATCCTTCAGAGTTCTCTTCACATATTTTTCTATGTAGCTCTTCTCCTTCTTATCACTCTGTCCTGCAAGTTCTAGTCTCCCTGGACTCAGAACTCTGTCTTCTCAATTTAGGCTCAGAATTTGCCAGACTTTCTCTCTCTCTGCACTGTGACTTAGAAACCCTCTAAAGACAAAGGGAAGTTTTAGGGCTCACAGGACTTGTTTTGTACCTTTCAGGATCCCTGTCATTTGTTGCCTGATTTCCAATTCTTTGAAAACTTGTCATATATATGTTCCTCTGCGTTGTGTGTTTTTAATTTTTCTTAATGTTTCAGGCAGTAGGGTAAGTAAATCTAGTCCATGATGTTTCTTGTGGTCCAGAAATGGAAACCTAAGATTTAGTCTTCATTCTCCAGGAAACAGTGCTCTAATACAAGAGTTCCTTTTCTTAACTAAGGTAAAACTTGCTTCTTTTTTAGTTATGTAGCCTATGGTCACTTGATGTCGCTTTGACTCCTTCTTCTTCCTGCAGCCATTCACAAGGTTGAAAACAATGACATATCTGTCTGCAAATTTGCAGGTTCTTTTAACCTTCCTTCTAGGACTTGACTTTCATTGTGCATTCTCCATATTAGCTCTTGGTGGGGCAACTGTCTTTGGGGAACTTTCCACACTACCTGTCAAATATGGGTGTGTAATGTTCAGTGAGTTATTTTGTATATGGATAGGCATTTGAGTGTCTTAACTTTTCTCCAACTCTGACATTAACTCCCTGAGCACTGTGTAGTCTTATGGGATTTTAAGTAGTTCTAGGGCTTAGCTGAGTGCATAGTAAACCTTCTAAAATGTATCCTGTCCAATCGGTGCTATAGATGATTGGAGGTGGATATCTGAAGCATTCACCTCATCTATTGCCTTCATGAAGGAATATGAATTTGGGAGTAGCTAACTTCTACAGGGCACAGTGCCACATATCTGTAATCTCAATAACTCAGGAGATGAGACAGGAGAATTGAAAGTTGGAGGCCAGCAATTTAGTGAGGATTTGTCTCAAAATAAAAATAAAAAAGGCCTGGGTGTAGGTCAGTGGGTTAAATCCACAGTACTGCAAAAAGGAAAACCTAAGCTAACTTCTAGTTTCAGTTTCTACTTCTTCTCAGTGAAAGATATAAGAGCAGTCAATATCTTTCCTTGGTCTCAGTTTCCTTACGTGGGAATGGGAAAAATGACACAAATTTCAAAAGCTATTTTAAGAATCAACTATAGCTGGGTGTGGTGGCACTCACCTGTAATTCTAGCAGCTTGGGAGGCTAAGGCATGAGGATCACAAGTTCAAAGCTAGCCTTAGCAACTTAGGGAGGCTGTAAGAACCTAGTGAGACCCTGTTTCAACATAAAAAATAAAAATGGTTGGGGATGTGGCTCAGTGGCAAAGAAAGGAAGGAAGGAAGGAAGAAAAGCAACTAGCAACTATCGCATTCTTTGAGGAACATAATAGAAACTAACATACTAACATTTTTAATTGTTTCTTTATGATTTCCATAAATTAAAAAAAATGAAAGAGAAAAATAAATGTCAGGAATAAAACAACAAATTTTAAAATTTGTTTAGAGTAGAGCTAGGATTACTCACACATTTGGTCAGGTGAGGCCAGAATAGAGCAATGTGGGCTTTCTTCTTTGATCTCTCTTGATTTTTGTTGACAGCCACGTCCAGGGCTGGAATTATTTACTTATTCACGAGCCTCATGTGCATGTGTGCACAGACATAGGTGCATACATGAATCTCTCTTTCTCTTTTTCTCCCGTGTGTGCATATGAACACACACACACTCTTTATGGCTGCCATGTGTTCCACACCCTTTTCCACTATTAAAATGCTCACTCTCTCCTGCCCTGCCTTCCCCTGGTTTTGACGCCCTCTTTGTTTCCTTCAGAGAAACCATTGCTCTGTTGGTTCTGGGACTGTTGGGAAAGCCAAGCATAAGTAGCCTCCTGTTCCAGTTGTTTTGAGCAGAAATGGGTTTTGTTTTGGGGGGTGGCTGAATTTCCCGCACGCTAATCTGTCATCAATATTAAAAACAGACGTTTGGTTCTCCCACATGTCCTCATCAGGACAATTGGCATGGGCTTCAGCCTCTTGGGCAGGGTAGACACAGGAGGGTGGGAGTAAGAAGGGGGGCCAAATCCCTTGTTTGACCTGTGGAGAAAAAGACTCAGAGGACAGGGACTTGTCCAAAGGTTACATACATGGTGAATTGGGGGCAAAGCCAGAGGTAGAATTGCTCTCCCCACCAATGGGTATTTCCACCAGTGCATATTATATCTGGTATGATTTTATTCTGGTAGAATAAACCTAGAGACATCTGAATGGCTGGGAAGAATTGGGTATCAAGCCCCTGGAAAGCAATTAGAGGGTTGTGATCTTATGGAGAGAAGAGATTATCAAATTAATCCCTTGCCAACTTCTGAGAATCATATCATATGCCAACTTCTAGAATCCCAGAAGCTCAGAGCAGAAGGACCAAAGGCATTGATTCCACCGTCCTTGATGTAAAGATGAGAATAGTGAGAAACAAGGGGAAGGGTTTCACCTAGTATCATAATCCCCCTCCCACTTCCCCATCTGGGTATGTCCCTGCCACATTCCTGTGCAGATTTTTTGGTTATATGTGCCTCTTCTGCTGGGCCTTTTTTGTTTAAAACTATTTAAAAGTAAAAAAATAAAAATAAAAAGCCCAAAGGCTTCTCTCACCATGAGATTCTTTGCTTCCACTGGTTTAGTTCAGGTCTGGAAGGCCAGCTGGCTCTTT